CCGTATGTAAAAATATTGCACTGACCAGCCACACGTTGTGTCTGTCTCCTTTAATTAATTATTCTCTTACCTATCAGCCTCTGTCCTCATTTCTCTCCATGTTCTCTCTAATCGATCGGTCCCTTCTCCCTCGTATCCACTCCTCCCCTGCAGGCAGCGATGTGAGGCAGAGGGCATCTATGGTGGGCTTCTGGCAGCGGCAACGAAGGCAGCTTCGGGCGGTGGAGGCAGAGGAGCGTTGGGCTTTCGATGATGGCGACGGCAAAATCAATGGCCGCAGCCACATACATAAGAGTTGGTTCCAGCGTCATGCATGGGCTTCGAACAACGACGGATCCGGTGTTGGAGAGCTCGGTGATGGTGGATGCTGCGTTGGGAGCTTGGTGATGATGGGGTGCTCGGTGATGGCGATTCTGGCACTCGGGAGCTTGGCGGTAGCGGATCCAGCAGCACCGGCTTCGAGAAAGGCTAATCCGCCAAAAGCGGCCTCGGGAGCTACGGGGCCTCGAGGTGACAATGACGGTGTTTTTAACGCTTGGGAACTCGACGGCGGCAGATCTGCCACCGCTGGTCTTAGCCCTTAGGAGAGGCTAATCTGCCGCTGCTATCCCTTGGAGCTGTGGGGCCTCGCGGTGGCGATGATGATAGCGGATCTAGTGCTTGTGTGTTCGACGCTGGTCGATCTAGTTGCGCCGACCTCGAGAGGGGTAGATTCGCTGGCGTTGGCCGCTGGACCTGTGGCACCTTGGCGGCAACACTGACGATGGCGAACCGTGGTGGTAATGACCAACTGCGGCAACGACAACAACGGCAACGACAACAGCGGCAGCAACGGTATATCGGAGCTAACTAGGGTTTTAATTTTGCGAATTATTTTCACAAGTGGGCGACTTAACTGACCACCTGCGAAAATCATATTTCCGGAGTGGGTGCGTCGCCCGATTGGAAAAATGCCGATGTTTATAGACACCTATGGGGAGGCGGACTGCTCAACCATTTGCAAAAATAGGTTTTAGCCGTTTGCCAAAAAAACTTTTATGTAGCCAGGAGAAAGTTGATCGCTAGCCACCGACTACAAATCGTCGGATTAGTTCTCATAAGATACTAGTCAATGGGATAGATTAGCTAACTTGCTCTCCCATTGTAATCAGTGTGATATATTTCATAGCTATATATATAAACTGGAGTTGGGTTATTACCCATCCTAAGTGCCTGAAGTAGTATAAAAATCCACGTCTCCCATTTGTTTTATAGTAATCTCGTGTATACCTCTCCCATCTATTTTATTGTAATCCTCGTGTATACCTTCGTAGCACCATCCTCATCCCATGCAAATAACATTATCGAGTATAGCTCGTCGACAGATCTCAAACAAAAGAGTACAAAGTTTTAGATATCGTCCGGATCAACAATTTTGTATGTAACTTGATATTAGTGAATGGCAATAGTAAAAAAATATTCCATGAAAGCATTAAAGTTTTCATATTATAGGAAGTACTACGAGAATCTATATAGGAGCTTGATTGACCTCAATCACGTTTAATATGAATTTTCAACTTTTTAAAGTGTGGACTTTCTAAAGTACGTAGAAACCCTTGTAAAAATATTGGCCAAAACTTATAACGAATATTTACGCACCTAAATGTTCCATATTAGAAAGCCTTCCAACTACAAAGTTGTATATGTCATCGAACTGTACACTTTTAAGATGTCAGTGAAAACTAAAAGGACAAAACCAAAAATAGATCTGAGAAAAAACAAATTTTTGAAACCATAATGATCTCTTAGGAACAAACCTTGAATTTGAAAGTCGTTGATCCCGTCGAGGGCTAGAATTTTCTTATAGAACATACATGTGTCTATCTAAGGTTGTTTGGAAATATAAGAAAAATACATTCAAAACAGATCTGAGATAAAAAAGAATAATTCAACCATCTCAAATGAATAAACTTTCAGCAAGAAAAGTTGTACATCTCTTTCGAGGGATACAATCTTCATATTTATCATCATATCCGGCTTCATTTGAAAGAGCTGCATATTTCTTTAGCATGAACATAAATTATGCAAGTTTTATTCATTGTTGTAGACCTAATTAAGTGACAATACACCAACAAAATATGCACAATGAGGGTAGAAATAGGAAAACCACCTTACTTTCAAGTAAAACTGCTATGAAAATTCTGCATCAAGTTTTTTCTACTATCTGGTTTTGAAATTGTTGGGGTGAAAAAGTACTTTATTTCAATGAAAATGCACTTTAATTTGAGAGAATTTCAAGAGCTAAAAATCTACTTGCGGCTTTAAATTGCCACTTGTTAAAGCCAGTATCTGGTAAAGCTAAAGTAGGGCAAGGCTACAATAATTTAAAAATTTTGAAATAGAGATGTACCATATTTGTTATCTTTTTCTAAGATCTTCCCACACTCATCAGTTTTCTCCTTCACGTATATGAAATGAAAAATCCAATCAATAGTGAATATTTTAATGTAAGGTACTGCTTGATCCATTGATCAATAATTACAACCAGGCAACATAATACAATGATCAATGAAATAGCCAACTCCAGCGTTATTACAAATTTAAATCTCATCTCTCACAAAGCAAACTAAGAAGGAAATCCAGCATACACGTCAAAGAGTAAGTAACCGCGAGCTAAGAATATTTGATGACAAGAAATTAAGTAAATGAAACACACGCGAACTTGCATCCATCGATATAGCTAGCTGGCTAGCAATAATGTTGGTGGCCCACCTAGGCAACGTAGTACATGGGACTGGGGTACTTAAAGGTGCGGCAACCCTCCGGTGATCTGAGGATGTCGCTCCACTGGTCACCGATGTTGCCGATAATGACATAGCCGGCATCCACTAGCTTCTTCCGCTCACTTGTCTTGAATGCTTGAGTTGAGGTCTGGAGCCCAATCGGTTGGAGCAGTAGCTTCTCCCAGCTAGAGTAGCCCTGTGAGAGGAGGTTGTGGGTGGTGATGGCTATCTGGTCCTCGGTGCGGTCGGTTAGGAACACCGGCTTGATGCCGAGCTGGAGCAGCCGTTGGTAGAGTCGCAGCGTCCCCTGCAATGCCGGTGCGCTCCCTCCAGCCACGTACTGGAGGAAGTTCGCGTGGTCGTATGGCTGAACTCTAGAAAGGGGAATGATGATTTAAAGATGGTAATCGCCAACCAGTAGTACAACGTGCTATTTATGTTACTTCTTTTTATTATATGAAAGATCCAAGCGCAAATACACCACTACGCAGGTACATTACACTAACATGCCCATGAGAGTGACAGCGACCATGTGCTAGCTAGTCACTTAATTACGCATTAAATTCTTATTGAACATGTACTCGTATGTATGTAATATTTGTAGGCACTAGGATTCGAATCACGGTTTGGAGGAGTCATGCATCCACAACACTACCATGACAACGTCGGTGTTTTCTCATACGGGTCATTGTTGTTGATATTATGGTCATTATTAAAAATCTAATTATATAGCATATATGTTTGTTGGATATTTTTGAGTATTAACTATAGCCTCTTTGATTGAAAAAGAGTTAATATATAATTACAATTTGCTAATTGTTATTTGGAGTGAAATAAATAAAATAGTAAATCACTTATATTTATAAAATTAGAATTTAGGTTTATATTAGAATTTAGGTTTATTATTTTTTAGAGGGAAATAATTATAAAATTTTATGCAAGATAAAAATACGGTTGCTATAATTATGTCGACACACTTTTTGGGACTTTTTTAAATACATTAAAAGTAAATATATAATTTAGGGATTTACAATGTAATTGCATGACTATTTTTTCATGAAAAATATGATGGGATAAATATTGATAATAAAAAAACAAGTTTACCTAGTGTTTGAGTATATATACGTACCCGTAGCCATGCTTAGCCTGGTAGGGCACGGTGGAGAGTGCGGTCTCGTCGACGTCGAACACCCAGACCTCCTTGCCACTGCCGGAGAGCTTGAGGCTCTCGGCGTAGGCGACGGCCTCGTTGATCACCACGTCGGAGTCGCGGCCGTAGCGGTCGCCGGTGATGTAGTCGGCGACGTATTTGGCGCAATCCGCCGGAAGCGTCTTCCACCCGATGATGTTGTGCGCCTCCACCGCCGTCCTCACGCTGCCGCAGTACGGCGGCGGCGGCGGCGGCGTCGGTGGCTTCGCCTCCTGGCCGCTGCAGAAGCAGGAGCCCGCCGCCGCTGCCACCACCGTGAGGAGGAGGAGCAACCTCGCCGTCGCCATTGTTGCCCTCTCCTTCTCTTGAGCTGTGAGCTGCTTTAGAGGAGATGTGTGTGATCGAGGAGGCTGTGAGCTTCAGCGAGGAGGCCATGGGGTTTATATAGTAGAGGCGAATGATTGGTGAGGGAGTCGCTTCACGGAGGTCCGTACGTTCTTCGAGGTGCGACGTCGTACGTGCGAGCTCAACGTTTGACCGGCGAGATCAGCAGCTGGGTGCATGCTCCACCGGCCGGACTAGCTTGCCGTAAGTTGTGGATTACGATCCCGTCGGATGACGACCGTCGACGTCGACCGGAGTGCGACGGGGCGCCCGGCCACCGACACACAGGGGTCAAGTGTTAGAAATAACGTTGTTGTTGTTATTAATGTCGCTTCTTGGTTGCGTGGTAGAGTGCGCTTCATATGTGTTTTGTGTTATAATACGTATGTTTTTCTAGTACCTTTCTCTAATATTACTAGCAGAGGGGCAGGCCCGTGCATTGCAACGGGATTTGACAAAAGTTATGATAACGGGTTCACCTCGTGGTCAAGTATATATTTGAATCGAACCTTGCTGAACGTACAACGATGCCATCCGATTGTTGTCCGACCGTGTTACGGCGTGGGCACAGCTAATAGACGCATGCCAAGATTCATCACGGCCTAAATCATGTATCGTTTGTGAGGTTTTTATCGTTGCTTTGATCATACACTGGGGTCGAACAACAACGTCGTATCTATATTATTTTCGATTGGAAAATCATGTTCTAAATACTTAATAAAACGATATTTCTATACAAGGACCCCTATAGATTACAACCACACCGTATCTAGTCCATCTGCAAAAATCGAGCTTTATTTTCGCATATGGCTCACTAAGCACTACTACTTTCAAGATTTTTCCAAACGGGCATTTTGATTTTTCCGTGCGGTTGTCCGGTCCGCCTGGAGCCAATCGTCTGGGAAAATAAGCATTTTCGCATGCGGGCGGTCCAACCACACGGGATAATCGATTATCCCGTGCGGTTGTGTTATACCCTTCTATCTTTCTTTGTATTTTATTCTAAGCGTGGTAAGGATATTGAATTACACATCACTGCGAACTTATTCACTCTTCGAAGCCCCCTGGCCGAACCGGAAACGGTGGTACCACCATAAGTAGGTTCTTTCGGTATTGACCAACAAGTCTCTCTCATTGAGATTAATACCAGCTTGCAGGCAGTTTCAAATTCAAGAACTTCATACAGAGCATCTCGATCAAGACTGACCCCACGAAGATCGAAGCCATTACCAGCTGGCCGATTCCAACGTCCATCCACGATATTCGGACTTTCCATGGCCTTGTTTCATTCTTACATTTCTTGCTTCTTTGCGAGAGAGATCTTTGTCGTCCTCTATTCGTCAACAGATGAAGAGGTAGGGGTTGTAGGGGAAGAACCAACCTTTTCGGGTTACGGGAGACCGAGGCAGAGCAAGAGTGTAGCTTCAACCGATCCCCGGCGACATCTTTTAGGCCAATGTTGGGCGTATCAGCTATCTCACCTGGAGAGTGAGGAAAGAAACGGTCCTCGTCATTAAAGGAAATTGTGCTTCTTCAGTTCTACATTAAAATTGTGAGTAGATTCTTCAGTTTTAAGCTGATAAACTTGGTTTCGGGAACTTTCTAGGAGAAAAATAGAGCCATTTGGAGCGGAGGGTGATCGATTTATGACAAAGACTGTGCTTTCAAACACGTCCGCACGGAATCAAAAATACCAAAAATAAAAAAAACGAATCGGTCGCTCGCTGCCGCCGCCGCGCTCGGCTCGCTGCCGAACCGCTACCTCGTCGATGTCGTCATCTGGGTCCTCCTCGTCGACGTCGTCATCTGGGCCGCCGCCGCGCCCGGTTCGCCGCCTCGCCGGCCGGCTCGCCCACTCGCTGCCGCGCCCGGCTCGCCCAGCCGCCGCCGCGCCCAGCTCGCCACCTGGCTTGGTTGCGGCCGCGCCCAGCGCCCGGCTCGTCCAGCCGCCGCCTCGCCCGCTCGCTGCCGCGGCCGGCTCACCGCCTGGCCTGTTCGTCGTCGTCGGCCCGCTCCCGGCCTCCGCCTTGCCGTCGTCGTCGTCGTCGCGCACACGTACGCCACTTCCGGCCGCCGCCTCGTCGTCGTCGTCAGCCGCGCGCCGAGAGCCGCCTAGAGGAGAGGAGGTGTCGGCACCATGCACAGGAGGAGGAGACGAGGCATCGGCCCGGCCGTCTCGCCCAGCCGCCGCTGTCCGCCCTGCCGCCGCCGTTGCCCAGGCTGCCGCCGTCACCCAGGCCGCCGCCGCCGAGAGCCACCTGGAGGAGAGGAGGCGTCGGCACCATGCACAGGAGGAGGAGACGAGGCGTCGGCCCGGCCGCCTCGCCCAGCCGCCGCCGTCCGCCCCGCCACCGCCGTCGCCCAGGCCGCCGCCGCCGAGAGCCGCCTGGAGGAGAGGAGGCGTCGGCGCCATGCACAGGAGGAGGAGACGAGGCATCGGCCCGGCCGCCTCGCCCAGCTGCCGCCATCCGCCCCGCCGCCGTCGCCCAGGCCGCCGCCGCGCCCGGCCACCGCCTCGCCCAGGGGAGGGGGAAGGAGGAGGGGAAGCCAGCTGGGGAGGAGCTAGAGGCCGGTGGGAAGCCGGAGAGAAGAGGAGAAGAGATAAGGTAGAGAGAGAGATGTGGAGTTGGGAGTGGTTGAGGTTGTACGGGAAAAAGGGAAAAAGGAGGAGAGAGATAGGGAAATTTTGAAGTGGTTGGGAGGGAAAGGAGGTAGGAATATCCCATGCGGTTGGGTTAGGACGCACGCACCGGAAAATCGATTTTTCCGTACGGGCGACACCCAGCGCCATTTTTTTATTTTTCCGTGCGGTTCCACTTACGGACCGCATGGAAACAAAAGGAAGGACGTCTAGGAAAATCAATGTTGTAGTAGTGAAGAGACCCGCATGAAAAAAAATCTATTTTCCATGCGGTCCTCTTAAAGAGCCGCATGCAAATATGAGCCTATTTTCCCATGCGGTCCTTTTAATGGGCCGCATGCAAAAATAGATTTTCATACGCGGACCTCTTAATTGGTCCACATGTAAAAATATTCCTTCTCTTTTACATAGATATTTTCTCCCCTCCTCAGTCTCTTTTCCTTCTCAACACTTCAAATTTTTCCACTTCACCTCTCCCCTCTCTCTCATTCTCTTCCTCTCCGCTCTCTCACCGAGAACTCTCTCATTCTCTCCTCTCCCTCTCTTTCTCTTCCTCCCTCTCCTTTCTCTCTCTCTCTCACCGACAAGGAGGGCGGCGGCCGACGGCCGACAAGGAAGTGCCAGGAGCGCGCGGCGTGACCGATGAGGTGGCGATGGAAGCGTGCGGCGCCGCTGAGGTGGCCAGGAGCGTGTTAACGACCAAATTTTGCAATATTAGTGCCAGAGATGAAGACTGGATCGAAGCGTAATCGAAGATGAGGATCATCGGTGAAACAGAGTAGGAATCAGCTGAAGTTCGGATCGGCTACGATTGGAATCGGCTAAGTCCGAGTCAGACTGGGTAAGTTGATATAGCCGATTCCGACAATACAACTTGGTATAAGTCATTGGGTTGAGTTGATATGCTTCAAGGTGATTGCCATGCATGGATAAAGTCCTGAGAAGGCAATTATATCTAATAATTAGGATATTTTATGTAATTTCCTTAGAGATATGTTTAGGCAAAAGTCTGTCGTAAAGACTTACTGTATCTTAGAGTTTGTTAGAGATAAGAGTCATGTCCGATATGGACATTGTTTGTAATTCTCGGGTATAAATAGACCCCGAAACCCATGTAATCAATTAACACATACGTTCAATACAATCTCGGCGCGTCGCCACCCTTTTTGCTTTAGTTTTATTTCAACGAGTTCTTGCTTTCGGGTTGAGCTGCATCGGTTTCGATCTTCAACAAGAGGTAAAACTTGTTATGATGACTTGCGTTCTTGGGATTAGTGCTTCCATCTTTATGATACTCTAATCTTGTTTATGTAATTCATCGAGTTATCACATATCTTATATAATCTCTGACAATATCGCTATCTAACCTACAATCGGCTAACATCTATTGATAGAGGGCAGTCGATTAGGTCAAATATTGATGTTGGCTTAGATTATATACGGTATCCACCACCTTATGAAACTTCCAACGGCTTGATTGTTTAGATGTTGTTCTTCTTTTCATACTTATAGCTGCATCAGTTGTTTGATCTTATGAGTCGTGATTAGAATCACAATCTCTAGCCTGCTTCTTGGTTGCCGATTAGGATAGTATTGGCGTTTCAGCCAATCTTACCTGATTTAACTATATTTGCTTTATATGCTTTATTGACATGTTAAATCTGCCCTTTATGTCAAGATCTTATTGCATTGAGTGTATTAGGCTTTCGTTTGGTATATTCTGCTTGCTTTAATATCTTAACGTAGAGTAGTATCGGAGTATTAGCCGATATATACTAGATCTATCTGATCGGCTATGCTACGAACATATATAATCTTATTATTAATATATATTTCGATTTAAGTGATTTATACTGTCTCGGCATGGCGACCGATCTATCCCAATCACTTGATTTAAGTATATATCGATATAAGGATTATATATCGTTAATATCTACAGCCGATCGAGTAGATTTAGTTCTGTTTTATTTATTAATGCTTACCGATCGATGCATATATGACATCGGCTCAAAGATAAATGATATGTCATCGGCACCTAACCGATCGGCTATCATTTATAGATTTAATCATGGTTTCTTTGCCTTTATTTCTTGTTGATTGCATGATCAAATCAACTGGCATGCTAGCATACTCAAAGACGAGTTTTGGACCTGCACTGGAGTTAAGCAGATCTCCCAGGCCTCGTGTTTTTCATCAACAGAGCGACGCTGCCCTACGTGGCTCAGTGTGACTCCAGCGGCGGCCACGCACAAGGGCCATGGCGGGGTCGGGCGTGGGCGGCGGCGGCGGCCCTCCCCCACCCCAATCTACTGGCCGCTACCCTCTCCCGCCCGGATCCGCTGGCTGCCGCCCTCCCCCACCCCCATACTAGTGGCAAGAAGGGAGGAGGATGAGGACGACGGGGGCTACTGGAGGATGAGGACAACAGCGGCGGCGACTGGAGGACGGGAACGGTGGCGGGTCACCTATGGTAGCGGTGTATTTTTTGATTTCTGGAATTTTTATTTTTTTTTTCTAATTTTTTCCTTTTCGCATGCGGTCGGCTTAAGTGCCCGCATGCGAAAATCAGATTTTCTCATGTGGTTGCGCTGGCTTTCATGCTTTTGCAGTCCTTTTCTTCCATGCGGTTCGCCCAACCGCATGCGAAAATGCATTTTGACCGTTTGTAAAAAGCTATTTTGTAGTAGTGAAAGTAACAGGTCGTATGTACATATATTGTCTAGGTACTCATGGTAATGTTGGCCGGTCGTAGATGAGGCCACAAATTAGATGACAAGTGGAAACGTAATTTAATCGAACTTTTCGATAGTATGGCAACGTATGTAATTAGTGGATGGAAAAGGATGCTCGACAGAGCCATGTACGCGGACAAGGCGAAGTCATGGATGGACTCACGACTTACCAATCGGACTAAATGGAAACAACTTTAATCGTGTTGTTGCTGGTCAAAATTTGAAAAAAAAACAATTATATACAAATATATATATACCAACGCAAAAACCAATTCAAACTTAAACAACATATCAAAGTAGTGGCAGAAACACGTTCAATTTACATAATATATATAATAGTAGAGAAAGGTAAAAAAACAACATAAGAATTGGATTGAGTAAATCAAACGCACGCGAACTTGGATCCATCGATATAGCTAGCTAGCCAATTAGCTAGCTAATGATAACGCTGTCAGACGAGCTAGGCGACGTAGTACATGGGGTTAGGGTACTTGAAGATGCGACAGCCCTCTGGCCCTCCGAGGATGTTGCTCCACTGGTCACCGATGTTGCCAACAATAGCATAGCCAGCGATCACTAACTTCTTCTGCTCGCTGGTCTTGAACAAGCAGTTGAGGTCTGGAGTCCAACCGACTGGAACAATGGCTTCTCCTAGCTGTAGTAGCCCCTGCAAGTGGAGGTTGTGAGTGGTTATAGCCCTTTGGTTCTCTGCGCGATCGGTTAGAAATACTGGCTTGATGCCTAGAGCAGCCATTGAGAGAGTTGTAGCGTTCCCTGTAGCTCTAGTGCACTCCCTCCTACCATTTACAGGAGGAAGCTCGCGTGGTCGTATGGCTATACTCTGAAAAGAAAAATGATAATTTGAAAAAAAATTGGCCAGCAGTACAAAGGGTTATGTTAATTTTTTTTTATTATACGAAAGTCAGGCACACACATACACTGCTACGCATGTACATGTATTATACCAAAACGCCCATGACAGAATGACGGAGACCAGCTACGAGTCACTGACCCATTAAATTCTTAGTGAAGACAAACTCGCTGTTTACATCCAAATTAAACACTTAGAGTCAAAATAGGGAAATATTACAAAAATTTGGAAGGCGCCGGGTTTCCTCCAGGTAGCCGGTCTAACCGCCGTCGGTGGGCCGATCTGATAGGCGTGATGGGCCCGTCAGACCGTCATAGTGCGATTAAGAGATGCTTCAGGTTTCCATTGGTTTCTACCCTGTGTTGGATGTGGAGAGTACTTGTAGAAGGCAAGACCAACTCCTTTATAAGAGCCAAGGTCGGTTTGATTCCAAACCCCAATACCCCAATCTCTCAATCACTACAATATATTGAATCATGCTATTACTTTACTTTTCCGCTATGTTTTTCACTTTACCATAGTTCAGTCCATCTTTATCGATTTGCGCCATAAATCGGCCGTCGTCGCTGCGAGATTGCAATTATCATTTTGTAAGTTTGTCCTGTAAACCTTCCGTTCACCCACGAGACGGGTGATTATCTTCAAATTGATCTAAATCAGCCTCATGGCTAGTTTTGATATCTAAATCGCCTCCGCTAGCCAGTTTAATCTTCAAAATCCATCTTGATCGATTTCAAGCTGTCTAGATCGAGGTTGTTGGCAACTCCGTTAACACCACAAATCTTTAGGCGAGTCTCGTGTTGGGATCGAAAAAGACGCGAACACTCGCGTGTGTGTAATATATTCATGGACACTAAGATTTGAATCAAGTCACGTAGCCACAACTCTATAATCACACGGCTTCGGTGTTTCCCATAAGGGTCACTGTTGATGATATTATGGGTATTAAACTAACTAGAAAGATAGCGCGGGCACCTTATATAATGTGTGTGAATTTTAGTATAAATATTTATGTGTGGCTGACTTTTTATTAAAATATATTTTTACTATATTCTAAACTAAAATTAAGCTTATTTAGTGTGCTTTGAATGCTAGTTATTTTCTTAGAATTACACTTGCAATCATGCAGTTTTGAAATTATGAGAAAGCATTATGTTAAAATATTTTTTTACTATATTCTAAACTAAAATTAAGCTTATTTAGTGTGCTTTGAATGCTAGTTATTTTCTTACAATTACACTTGCAACATATAAATTCTAAAATAAAATTACTTGATATCATGCAGTTTTGAAATTATGAGAAAGCATTATGTCAAAAAAATGAAGGTGGTTCCTATGAGAAAATTTAGGGTATTTTGACTCCCCAGAAGGATATCTCGATACCCCAAAAGAAATCCAATAATATCAATTTTTGTTTGATTTTATTT